GGAAAAAACTCCTGGTCGATGTTGCCAATCTGGCTCCTTGCTGCTTACTGCTGCTTACCTGCTGCTCACCCCGACTCGTTGCATTGGGATCACCACCCCGGGGAGATACACAGGGGAAACAAAAAACTAGCATAGCATGTCGGCCTTCCAGGATTCTAGCTAGGTCAGTCTCTTTCAGCTGCCAGGTTAGCACCCATCGCAGGTTTTTGATCTCCATTTCCTGGGGAATGCACAAATTATTCCCACAACGGCGCCGGATGCTATGTTTATGAGTTGGTGCCCAACGGGCCCAAAATCTACCTATCTCCTTTTCCCCAGGCCGCACAACGGTACCGGATGCTATGTTAATGAGTCGGTGCCAGAGCTGATCTATGCTATGTTAGATTTCGTGGGTGTAAGGAAATTCTCAAGGCATATCTTACTGTCTTTGGTTAGAAATCTTGGTTTTTCCCATCGACCTCGGGGGTGGAAAAAGTTATGCTATATCCCAACCTATGTGGACTATTACCATCTGGTTGGTGGTATACCTACCCCCCTGAAAAATATGAAAGTCAATTGGCAAGGATTATCCCGTGTATTATGGAAAATAAAAGCCATGTTCCAAACCACCAACCAGCCATAGTTATAGCCAATAACTCCAACTGCACCAAGTATGGGGGTCTCCTGCAAATGCTCCCCACTTCCTTCCGCCTGCTCGTTGCCCGGTTCGCTATAGCTGGACAAATCTTGGCCAGACTGCAGCTTCAAGGGGGGTCCAATCCTCAGTGTGATCGCTTGGCTGGAAAATCCCCCGTGGCCTAGCCATGGAGGTTTCTAGTTGGGCAACATATCACAATAAATGGGTGGATTTCACCACGTTTGATTAGACGGATGAGGAGGGTATCACATATCTATCCTGGCATTCATTCTGACCTTTGGTCGGACGGTTATCACACATCAACATACTCAATGGTTTCACCTTTCAGAGGATTAAGTATGATTGTAAGCCACCTGTGGGACCATTCTTGTATGTATAGCTTGATCGTATCCACCTTCTACTAATCCCTCCTCCCTCCTATTACTAAACGTCCCCCAAATATCCCCAAACACTCCAAACACTAAAAACATCTAAAAACTATGGACAATTCCAATAATGAAAACTAGTAAACCTTGGGGTGTTGTTGTTAGGGCTCGCCTTTTGAAATCAAACATTTGACTATTTGTCAGTCAAGGTTTTGATTTGATTATTAGGCGGACACTTCGAAAGCAATTGTTTGGCAATATTTCAGGTTCTGCATAAACATGAATTCCATCGATTTCAGTTGTTATTTTCAGGCTTGGATTTGATTATTAGAGGGAAGCTTTGAAAGTCAATGATTGTCAATAGGTTATATAGCTTTTGAAAACGATTTGGATGGATTTTGAAAATTATATATATATATATATATTCGATTGTGTTTAAGGTTTCAATTCAGTATTAGGGAGTGATTTTCTCACCCTAATATGGTGTTTAATTGTTATTTTAGGGGGAGCGTTTAGTATTAGGGAGAAAGGACTAATCAAACATAGCATGGCTATAGCTGATTTTCCACTGCCAAGGCCAAGAATCTGCTGGCGATTGAAGGCCAAGAAGTTGTGCGTGTACTGAACCGTCTTGAAAGCTTTGCTGCCGGTGTTGGTCAACTCTGACCTGAACGGAGACCCAAGAACATCCAGAAAGCCTGCTTTAATCACACGATGAAAGTACTGCATCTTGATGAAACTTTCGGATTTGAGAAAGCAACAAGTCTATTCATGTATCGTTGATATCATCAGAATATCGATCTACAGGTAAGAGAAATTCGTCTTGGAACCCATCAAATGCATCAATTTTCAGGGTTTTCTGGTCCAACGGCCCCGGGTAGAAGTGACTAGGTACATCTATGTACAGTGAGTACATGTACAGTACATCAAACATCCAACCAAGCTAGACAAGGTTAGCACTCCTATTATTGGATTCCTTAAGGGTACATTTACAGGAAAAACCATATATACCCTCTGGTTATCTAACATAGCCATGGAAAATGGCCCATTGATAGATGCTTTTTGATGATTTACCTATTTAAAATGGTGATTCTCCAGTTCGCTACGTTAGTCATAACCAGAGGGAATCCAGAGGGTATATATGGCAAAAACACAAAAACAAGTCGATTTTTCCCAAGAAAAAAACACAAATCCATGAATCTACCCCCTCCCTGAACCTCATCACCAGCATGTCCCCGTGAACCTCAGGTCATGCAACACGCGGCTCGGAAAATCATCGCAGAGTCAAGCCCCAAATCGACCAATATATCGTCAGCCCCCAAAGGATAGAAGCGCAATTCATCACTATTTTAGGGAAGTGTAGGGAAATGTTTTATATATGTTATCTGTTTGGGGATTGCTACAGAATGTGTCAGTGAGGATTTTATTTTGAATGGCGAGACTACTAGAGGGTCATGGAATGTCATGGACGTCGTTTGCCTAAACAGGGAATTTGCGCATAAGGGATACGTCCTATTTCCAATCAATCCCCATGCTCCAAGTACCTTCGCAGAAAGTGTTTGGAGTATGAATCGGGGGATGTTCTGCAGTTCTTGCATCCATTGGGTGTGGATAAAAGTCATAATTGACATAGGCTGAGCATGTTACCCTCTGGTAAACGTTTACATAACTATGGAAAATCACCATGTTTAAGGGGAAAAATCACTATTTCTATGACCATTTTCAATAGCAAACTGTTAGTCATTACCACAGGGTGGTTCGTTTGCTCATGTGACTCTCCAGTGGTGCACTTGGACAACCATCCCACCTCACGGCCATTCGGCGTTGAAGACGAAACGGGCTTCATTCAGCTCGTGGGAGGTATTGCAACATCTGAAGATGGATTGTCTGCGGACCATGAAAGAACCCAGCACAACCTATCAAAACATGTGCCAAATGATCCAACATTTATCTGAATTATCAATCTTTAGCAGCTGTAATTCCAGCGAATGGCTACTAACATAATAACTCTTGACTTATTGACTACAGTATAATTATATAATACAACTTAAACTGAGATGACATGATTCCCGATATCCATCACTATCCATTTTTTTGTTTGTCGCACTTCCATCATCCCCCATCTAAGGCTCCCTACCTGCAAGTGTCGCTGAAAGCGGTATCCCCACACGCCCAAAGAAGCTTCATGGATCATGTCAATGGTGTCACTGGAAGGATGACTCACTGTCCACACTGGCGGCTCTGCAAAGTCGTATCCTCAGGCGGCAGCGGGATGTGGGAAGCCTGGGATCACAATCTGGCCTTGTCCATGGTCATGGAAAATACCCGGCCTGGTAAACGTTAACAAAAAACTATGGAAAATCACCATGTTCAATGGGAACATCCATTATAAATCACCATGTTCAATGGGAAAATCAACTATAAAATGGTAATGTTCAATAGCTATTTTGACATAACCAGGCCGGGTACATCCGGGTCAATCCACCCATTTTTAGGGTTCAGCCCGAGCTGCTGGAGTTGAAATGGTAATTCCTCGGGACTCGCGAGGAAAACAGAGTCACACTGCAGTCAGCAAATCTAAGGACTGTAAAAGGGTAGTGAGTAGTGGAGGTGGTGGTTTATGCTCAATTACTCCTATCATCCATAATACTAGCATATACATGCATACTGCATACACAGGTACATATATATATATATGTATATATATATATATACTGACATTTATATATATATATAATATATATATATATATGTATATATACATACATACATATATACATGTATAAATAAGTATAAAGCTTATAGTCGATCACTTTTACATCCTCTTGTACTACGATTCTCCTGCGAAGTAAAGGACAACATCATCGATATCTTGTCCCTCCTCATAATTGCTGACAATGGGTTCCCAAATGTTCCCAAACATATAATATAATATAATTTGATGGAGATTGCAAATTAGATCGTGATCTTGTCCACAGTTTTCCTTGGTTCACCCGCTGGGTCTGTCAAAAAATCGAATAGGCATGTACAAGAGATTTACCACCATCTATAAAAAAATATACAAATATACCATGTAGAGCATATGGGAATGGTGTATGACCCAAAATTGCAATTTTCATGGAGCAACCCGTTACATCCCAGTACATTGCCTATATATGCCTATATATTGTAGTAATACAACCAGTTAAATCCCCCATTGTTCAGAATGGCAAGATCCAAACTATTTGGCACGTGCCGAGCGTGTCGAGCCACGTGTCGGTCTTGCAAGCGTCGCAAGAACCTTTGATCAGTTTGCCCACGCCGATCTTCAGAAATGGATCTCCCATACCTGGAATCGCAGTACATCTTGGTCCTTCTTTTCCTGGCCTATCATACCCTGATTTAGCTTAGAACTTGCTTGGTTCTATATGTCACGCTTTGTGTGTGAATCATGAATCTGAATCTGAATTCGTGAAAATGTGTGCGAATTCCAATCTGTCATTGCAGTTGTGGCCATTAAGAAATATAAATGGAAACATAACCGTATTGTATATCATTGTAAACCAAATTATAGCTGTTAAGGGCCATAACTGTGTGAATGTCTACATTAAAATGAATGCAAGGTCAGACTGCAAAAGGCCCTACAAGTACTATGGACCGGGCGGCCTATGTATATTTGTTTTTCTTTTTCACTTTATGTAGAATATTCATGTATATGTTTTGTTCCAGCCTGTGCACGCTTCTTTCTATCAACAAACCGGTACAAGTATCACTTAAGGAGACACACACACATCACTGTGGTTTGCGAGGCAACTACCTGGATGTTTGTTCCAGGAGGGTTTCTATACATGGGGGGGATCCCCAAGAACTGGTTGGGTTATAAGCAAAAATCTATTAAAATGGACGTTTTTTTAGAGGTACCCCCCTCCATTTTCGGACATCTCCATATATAATATATAATATGATAGTCATTTATTATATGTTATTAACATCTTCCATAAACCATTGAACTAAGATGAATCAACCTAGGCAAATAAACAATCTTAGCTAAGAATGTCAGGAATATAGATCTATCATACAGGTTAAATTTCAGAAACCATACTTGACCGAGTTACAAAGCAACTTTAATATTTAGGGGGCACCACACTAGTCCGTTTTGCGGGGAGGTGGTCCACAGATCATGGAAAGTACTTAGTTGTGAGTTTGCCCTCTTATGAAATCTATTCGGGTCTGCGCAAAAATAGGGTGCTTTGATTATATTATATTATACTATATTATATTATAATATATTATATTATATTACCCAATTCCATCCAATTTAGTTTTGCTGGGAAATCACCCATTTGCAAACAAAGACATTTGTATGGTTCGAAGGAACCAAAACCCAACTGCAACAGAGATCTGAACGAAGTTGCCCCCGGCACCAGCGCCTGCTTCATGGTATCCCAGCACGCCGTTGCTGGCCTAGGCACAAAGGAAGAATGCCAGTTGTGTTTGGTGCCCCCCGGGCGCCATGAAAAAACAGCAACCAAAACCAAGGGGCTTCTGCCTGTCGCCCCCATCCAGCTGGACAATCTGGACCATCGCTGCCGCAACCGAACCTCAGAGTTGACAGGGCTCCTGTTGGGCCCACGTACAAAGGGGCTAAATCATGGGGGCAAATGGGGATAATTTTGATAAATAAAGAGGATCAGATGGCAACTTTTCCCTCTTCCTTGTGGATGTTGTTTGCCTATCAAAGATTCGAGCACCCCAAAAGCGAAAATGGGTGACCAAGGCAGTGGTGAAAGACTTCTTTGACCTCCCACAGCTAAGGGGATTCTGTGAGATAAGGCATTGGACATTTATGAAGTAAATGGCAACAGTGCTGCAGATGTCGTCTTAATTAAAGCCTTAATTCCATCCCCCAAATCGATTTGTCTTCAAAAAGTATGTAGGGTTCCATTTGCCCATACTTTGGGGTGTACATCAAGCATTATCCAGCATAGACACGCCCAAATCCCGTGGCAATATCCATGTTGGCGCCAAGAAACTCTGATGCGAGGCCCAAAACGCCTTCAGGGTTCGAGGGATCGTGGTCCTGAAACAAACAGAAATTTGCGCTGATTTTGAGAATCAGCGGTTTGGCTCAAGGGGAGGTGCCAGCAAACCCATGCTTAACCATGAGCTCCGGAAAGTTCTGAACCACGATTTCTTCCTCTTTTGTTTCACCCAAAACAAGCAATGGGATAGGACGTGGATAGGACGTGGTGGGGCCAAAACGCAAAACACATTGGTGGATTCATTAAGTGGATCGATTTGGAAAAGCGTGAACTGAGACGCACTGAAAATGGCTTCACTTGCAACTAGTAGTTGGTGAACCAAAGCACCAATGAACATTCACATTGGTGAACTGATTGAATTCATTTTCCAATGATGCGCGCCAGAAAGGAGGATCCCTTGCTAGACTGACATAGCAGGACCATTCATGGGAGTGTTGGTGAATCGTATCCCCGGAAAATCCATTGGAACGATTTTGGCCATTTGCCCATTAGCCCTGTTCATCCGTCATAAATTATCAGCGAGACCACAAGTGGGAATCATTCTGGAATGTGTGGTGCGTTGGTGCAAGGAGTTCTGCCGCGTTTTCGTTACATCTACATGTCATTTGGCCTCCATTGTGCTGGCCATTTAGGGCCTCTCCATGTGGCATAAGCCTGTCTGAAACTCCTCCCCATCATCATCATCATCATCATCATCATCATCATCACCATCAGCACCATCACCATCACCATCACCATCACCATCACCATCACCGTCACCATCATCATCATCATCATCATCATCATCATCATCATCATCATCATCATCACCATCACCATCACCATCACCATCACCATCACCATCATCATCATCATCATCACCATCACCATCACCATCACCATCACCATCATCATCATCAGCATCATCAGCATCATCACCATCACCATCACCATCACCATCACCATCACCATCATCATCATCATCATCATATTCATATTCATATTCGTGATCCTGATCGTGATCGTGATCGTCATCATTCCAACCCATTCCCAAGCAGTGCGAAGTTATCCAACTGTCGACGGGATGACTTTCAAACCAAGATCCCGTGGTTTATCACCATTGAATCACCACAACTGGATCTCTAGAATTGGTGAGATTACCTTTCATATGACTTTATCACCATTGAATCACCACAAACTGAGACTTTCCAACCATTGAATCACCACAACTGTGGCTTATTTCGGTAATGAAAATTTCCCCAGTCTCAGACACAGCCAGATTCTCAGATCTCACATTGTTGGTCATAAATCCAATGAACATCCCATAAAAAATATCCATTCAATCCCCTTCAATCCTATGAACGTCTTTATATACAAATCCCATTGAAATCCGATAGAATCCCATGAAAAATCTCCTTCAATCCCATCAAATCCAAGTTCAATCCAGGATCCTTCCCCCAATTGGGATCTGTTGCTGTTCTCCAGAGATCGCTAAAGAACTCGGCCTCACCCAAAGTGATCTCTCCGATCATGCTGCCCCAGTCCTGGGAGATACACTGTGAAACACATCCCGTGACGAAAAGGACACCTCCGAATCTCCATATCGTGAAAAACATTATAATGGCGATATGGACTACCCTCTGGTAAACATACAAAAAACTATGGAAAATCACCATTTTTAATGGGAAAATCCACTATTAATGGCCATTTTCAATAGCTACGTTAAATTACCAGAGGGTACGTATCTGATTAATCCATAATCATCCAATATGTCTCAATATCAAGTCATATCATGGGGATATTAACCAACAATGGATTCATAAATAGTGATCTTACCCATGACATGGAGATATTTTTCATGTGTTGGAATCCTGTTTTGCTCATGAGGGTGATATGATATTAAGCAAACATGAAGCATCCAATGGGGGTATCAAATGGACTCAAACCAAACCAAGGATCCAAGGGCTTTTCATCCCAAGATATCCAAGCGCAACTGGTCGGAGCTATTCACCAACTTGTCTGGCTATAAACGACAATCGTTGGATATTGACCAACACTAGTGTGGATAATTAAATGTGGATAGCACAGTGCAACTGACAATGATACAAGAAATCACCCGCAAAAAGCGATACAGAAAAAAACATCATGTCAAGGTGCTGTTTAGATGAAAAAACAACATCCTCTTAGCCAGTTTCGATCACCGGAACAGAACACAGCCAATCTAATTCCAGGTGGTTTGGATTGATGCTTCAGCCAGTGGGATTCACAGCGCAAAAAAACATCTCGCTTGGGGCCAACTGGCTGAAGTGTTCGGAAAGTGGCGGAACTTTCCACTGGAAACCCCAACAAAAATCCCATAATTTCACATATTTAGCTTGCGATGATTCTCAAAATACAGTATATATATATACATGTATATACATGTATATACAGACATGTATATACATGTATATACATGTATAATCATGTATATACATGTATATACTGTATACTACTGTGCCCAAAGAAGCAACTGTACTGCATGTTCGAATTCGCATAAAGCATGCAATTCAGGGGTTCCATATTTCCATCTTTTTTGTCCCTCCAACAACCTGAGGCTGCCCTACCTTCGGAGGCTGCGTCCCAGCGACAAATCGCGTGGAGTTGTAGTAACCGAGCTTGCCAGGCAAATAGACAGTCACGTCCTTGGTGCAAATCTGGTACCCTCTGGTTATGTCAAAATAGCTATTGAAAATGACCATTTATGGTTGGTAATGACTAACAGTTTGCTATTGAAAATGACCCAGTCGAAATGGTGGATAAAAACCCATTGAACATGGTGGATCTTTCCAGTTCGTTTTTTGTTAACGTTTACCAGAGGCTAGTCAGCAGTGAATGTGAAGCTGTGGAGTCTGTGGCGGCGATATCCAAAAAAGGAGGGACACCACGAAAAAAAAATACCATGTGGGGCCCCTAAATGTGATGTGAACGTTGGTTTAGATTCGCCCCAGTAACTAGTTCGTTATTTGCGTACCATAAACCATATAGTTATTGGAGTTATTGGCACCAACTTAGCTATCGAACGGGGGCCTCACATTGTATGTATAATATATCTACATATTTGGGTTAACGTCAATGTCTGAAAATGGGAGAGAAAAACCACAGTACGGCTGAGGAAAAACATGATGATTACCCTCTGGTAAACTAACATAGCTATGGAAAATCACAATTTTTAATGGGAAAATCCACTATTAATGGCCATTTTCAATAGCTACGTTAAATTACCAGAGGGTAATCAATGAAAATATGGGTTCCATGGTTTTCAGACACACCACAAAGCCAAAGCTGGCTGTGAGTCGAGTCATTCTGGAATCGTTGAAGACTGTCATCTGGACATATGGCAGTGTGTCAAAACCAATAGTACCCCTGTCGTTCACATCAAAATAGCTGGGATTTATGGATGTGAATAACCCCCTAAAAATGATATTAATAGGTATTGATCCATACCCATATCTGGATATATCTGGGCTGGACAGCACTGTGCTCTCGATTGGTCCCTGACTTCAAAATGTGACTAGCCACATCGAAATCTCAGGTTTTCAGTCCAGAGGTCGACTGGACAATTTCGGATCTTCGTAAATTTCAGCAGACATGGCAGAAACATGTCGTTAATGCATCATCGCCTTTTTGGGGTATACAACATCCAAAACACTCATTAAACACTTAACGAAAAAAGTTTGAACAAAACTACTTAGGATGTCTGTGTTCTTTTTTTGACATGCTTAAGTCTTGGATGCATATTGTCTATAAATCTATCCATGTCTATCCGTTCTGGTCATCATCCTGAACCATTCTGTAGATCCTGTAGTCAGTGTGAGGCACTTCATTCTTGCAAAGTTGAATCAGATTATAACATCGGCCTCTTTTTCACACGAATCAAATAGATCCAATATGATCCAATCAAATTAAGGATAGATTGGATAATACCTATAGTACCTATATACCATAGTAAATAATACCTATACTATAGTATAATACCTATAGTACCTATAGGAATATACCATGGATAATACCATACAATACCTATAGTACCACTCCCCTTCCTATCCCCTCCCCTCACAAGCTTCCACTTGGCCGCTGGAGAGGATCGTCTTCGGATAGACCGCTGACGCGGCAGCAGCCACCGTGCCAGAGAGAATCAGCACATGCGGGGCCATAGTAACCACCAAAAAGATGGTCAAAAGTAAAATCACAGCAAAATAGTGGTAGAATATGGTAAATATCTAATATCACTGTGTTCCTTGTGTTTTTACATTAAACAAAAAAAGTACATATTTTTGGGGTTGCTATAAGAATAAATGCTGAATTTACAGTCGATATTCATCAAATTTTAGGATCGTTTTCCAGTGATTTAGACCTATTCCATGAGAGATATCACAGTCGACCTGACAAACTTCCAACAAGGGACAGCTGTGATGGTTGGGTCAAGTTTTTCAATATGGGTATGGATCAATACCTATTAATACCATTTTTAGGGGGATGAACATCCAGTTACCAGCTATTTTGATGTTCACCAGGGGTACAAGGTTTTGACACACTGCCATATCAGAAAGGCATGGGTCGATGACTGGATTGCAACGCGGCGGACTCCGGCGCAAAGCGCAAAGCGACGGAACATGATGGTTGAGTTCCAACGAATGCAGAATCCCAAAGAATGCTGAGTTAGTTCACCCCAGTTGTACCTGAATTAACCCTACTTATCCCATAGAAACAACCAGGGTTAATTTACCACTTCCGATCCGTGGGATGACCGGCTGACTGCAATCTGTACCCACCCGACTCATGGGGGGTCTGAAACATCAGATGATCAGAATGGTGGACGACTCGCACCGTTTTGTATCCAGAATGAGGACGAGGACGACCGGTCTTGGGCAGAATATGATCCTCAAACTATGTCCCAGGCTATTGGGATATGGGATGAAAGATGGGATAATATGATGTTAGATCTTGGGATATGGGATATGCCCATCTTTCATCCCGTATCCCAATCGCTGAAAAATCATTGATTGTCGAGAACATACCACTATGATCTCCAAAATCATCCCATTGATATTTGCTTTGGTCTGAAATTAGTGCTTCCCAGCCAATGCTTCCCATAAAATCCATTCAAATCCCATAAAATAATAAAAATAAAAAACATTAAAAACCTATAGTTCATCATCATGTTCCCCATCAAAATAACATAAACCAACCAGAAAAATGGCAGTCACATCCCCGAACCCGACCGTCGAAAGATGCTTGCCTGGCCCTCATAACGAGGAAACACACGATGACTGCGAAGCGCAGGCTTTTCGGCGGTGGAAATGCTGGGGTATACTCTGGCAGATCATGCGAAAATGCTTTGAATATGGTTGGGATCTGGTTGGTGGTTTCAACCATCATGAAAAATATGAAAGTCAGTTGGAATGACTATTCCCATATAGTATGGAAACATACTGTAAAACATGTTCCAAACCACCACCCAGATATGGTTGGAATATGTTAGAATCACTACTTAGATGTTGCCGGAAAATTCGCGATTCGTGGTTAGTAAGGGGTTATGCCTAAAGGCCCCCGTCTCACTATGGATTGTGCAAGGGATCTGTCCCAGTTGCTAACCACTGCGCGCAATATCTGGCTACGTCGAGGTCTAACGTTTAAGCTACAAACTAACCAACATGGTGATGTGACCATTAACAATCAGGCAAAAAGCAGCAGTAATCATATATATATAATATAATACCATATAATATAATATAATATAATATAATATATAATAGAATAGAATAGAATAGAATAGAATATAATATAATAGAATAGAATAGAATAGAATATATAATATATGTATATATAATATCAGTAATCATATAATATGTAGTATGTGTATACCAGCATACAGCACTGTAACAAAAGACATGAGGAAACATTTTGGGTTATGATGTAATTCTAAAAGCACAGCAACAAAACTGCAACAGGCATAAGGATTCCTCCTCCATCCTCGTTACATTTGTTGACAAGTTGAAGGACCCCTGCATGGGTTGTGCAGTGGACAGTGACTCTGAGATTCTGAATGTTTCTTTATACAAGCCTCCAGGAACAACAAATATCATGAAATATATGGAACCCCAAAAGTGGTTTTGAACTATAAAATATGTTCACGGACATGGCCAATTACACACGATATGGTGAAATCAACTCATCAAAACGGCCAGATGTTTGCGACAACACTGTGTGGGTTCAGAGGGGCCCTTCTCCACTGTGTAGATGGCTGTTTGAGGAATAAAGAAACCGCCATGAAACCGCAATTAATATGTTTTCTCCATTTGAGTTTCACATGTGATTCCCACAATTGGAGTATCGGTATCTAACAAAAAGACAAACAATCACCATCTCGAAAGATGATGACATTACAAAAGGAAAAATTGCAGGTTTCAACCCTCTAAAACAGTCAATGCAGGGTTCTGCTCTGGACTTTGGCAACAAACAATACATATCCTGCAATGAAACTACAATGAAGTCTAAGTAAGTAAATGATATCCCGGAATCCTTCCCATCCCAGTTGCACTTCCCAATCATCACCCCAATGTTCGCCCAATGGGATGTGAACATATCATGATCATGACATAACATCGGCGAAAACACTTGGGAAGAAACACTGGATCAAACAACAGTTGCCTCCGCGCACACGACAAGTATCAAGCAGACCTTGACACCACTGTGGGCACACCATCCGCAGACGTGTCAACGATCTGCGGCGGGGGGTTGGTGACGTCCCCCGTTCGGTGAAAGGAGATGATGCCGGCAAATCGTTGATCAACCGTTGTTCATTACCCTCTGGTAAACTAACGTAGCTATGGAAAATCACCATTATTCATGGGTAAATCCATTTGCAATAGCTATGTTAAATTACCGGAGGGTAATATCTGGTTGGTGGTTTCAACCAACCCCTCTGAAAAATATGAGTTCGTCAAATGGGATGATTATTCCCAATATATGGGAAAAAAATAAACGTGTTCCAAACCACCAACCAGATACGGGGTTTCCTGAAATTGGGGATACCCCGAGTTATGGATGGTTTATATTGGTTTATAATGGACAAATCCTATTGGCATGGATGATTTGGGGGGTACCCCAATGTTAATCCATTTTAGGACACGTCCATATTGGGATGATATACTGTAAAATCATCCCCAACTGGTTGTTGAATGGGATGGTTTACTATGTTGGCTTTACCGTAAACTATATACTATTTATATATATATATATATTATATATAGATAATTATAAATATCTATCCCGGCTGTAAGATCCGATCTATAAGCAGCTATGAAATATAACGTTAGAACTTAAATAATTTCCTGCAGCATCCAAGGGGAATCGTGTCACCGGATCCCAGCGATCTCTGAAACATGGATAAAGAGTGTACGACTGGTCATAAATCAGAAAGATCATCATCAATCATAGAAGTTAATCATCAATCATCAATAAATAGTAGTTAATCAATGTTAATCAATCATCAACAATAGTTAATAGATTAATAGTATAGTTAATAGATGTAATAGTCAGATGGAGTGTACTTTGCCATCGCCATCTTCACAAAGCATCACCATCCGCCGCATCCGCATCCGCCGCATCCGCATCGGAGCCTTGTACTTGGCGACACCAGCTTGATTTGCGGCACCTGGCGACGATCGTCAGCACCATCCATGAGACAAAGCAGGCACTTGTTTTTGGCAAGTCTTTTCTCAATGGATTGGTTTAAGGGAAAATCTTAACCGGAAACCATGGTTTTTACCATCAAATAGAGGGGTTTCCTGAAAAAAAATCCCGTCATCCAATTCTGTGATTTTCCTCTGGGGAACATCCAATTCATATCAATTCATCAATTTTAAGTGTAAACTTACTGATTGCAAGAATTCAGGGAATTCCTTTGCCATCCGGAGTCAACACTGGACCAAAAAACATCGCAATGCTCAAATGTCTAAGCATCAAGGGCTTGTTAAAACTCCATCAACAACAACTAAAAGTCAACACTGATGTTCCTTTGCTTGAACTCACGCTCTTCACCAAACAAAAGACTATATGGAGGTTTCCTGAAAAGGGGGTATCCCTAAATCATCCGTTTTAATTGGAATGTCCATTATAAACCAACCATTTTAGGATACACCCATTTCAGGAAACCCCCATATAAGCAACATCCAGCAACCCCCTTGCCTGGAGCATCTGTTCCCAAGGCCACCAACAGATCTTTGGCCACCTAAGCCATGACGTGGCTAAATCATCGGGAAACACGCCGGAGAAACTCCGACGGTGTCTCAAAAAGAACCCGTCATCATGTGGTACCCTCTGGTAATGACTAACATAGTTTTTTCTATGTTTACCAGAGGGTAAAGCCCAGTTTACAAACTTGCCACCTGGATGCTTCCTTCAAACCATGGTAATAGTCAGTTGTGACCAAAAATCTGGGTTTACCATCACCTTTGCACACTCTAGGAGGATCAAGTCAGGACTGTCGAGTGGGTGTCAAATAGGACTGGTGCTGAACATCACTTGTAGTGAAAAACCACTGGAAAAAGGGCTTTTTTTTTAAACGACTGCTGGATTTTCTGGCATCCTGGATTTGCCGTCGCAGCCCACTTTTTCACGGCCATTTTGACTTCTCTGCAGAGTCGTGATGTTGAGCCTCGCGCTGACGCGGCCAGCGTCCGTGATTTTCAGTCGACTTGGTCGATCCCACGGAAAATGTGAAGCGTCGCCGTGTCAGAAGTGTGAGTGTTGCTGGTTGGGGTTGGCCGAGATAGGACCTTTCGATCTTTTATCCACTCTTGTGGAGGTATGCAAAAGACGAGAATCAGAAAAAAACATTTCGCTGGCACATGGAAACGTGGTCTCATACTTCTCGGCTTTATCATGGATATCCCAATCCCCGTAAACCAGTGGATGACCATCCCTAAATTATATTTAATGATGGATGAAAACAGTGTCCTTATCATTTCCTCTTGCGAATTGGACCAAGCATCAGCATTGGCCCAGTGAGTAAAAATAGCTGAGGCCGCAAAAGAATGGGTACTGACTGACATCTTGAACGAACAATTAAATACAGGATGGGGCCCCCAAGATAGCTAAGTTGCCTTATAAGTGGCTTAACTATGGTTTATGGTAGATATAACTAATAGTTAATGGGGGTTGCAATGGTTTATAAACCAACCCATAACGGGGGGGGGCATCCTGTACCCTCTGGTTGTTTTGACATGGCTATGGTATAGATGGCCCATTTAGTTTGGTGATATACATAATGATTTTACCGAACTTAAACGTCAAAATGGTGAGGGGCTGTGGAGCAACCAACCCCCAAAAAATATGTCACCTCTGGTCACCGTCGTGGCCAACCCGTCAGCCAGATACCCCGGAAGCGTCAGAGGCTCCAACGGAACCTAAGGATCAGATCAAGCCCGCCACAGTGGCTAGAAATTAGTTCAGCTTTATTTGGTTGTGATTTCCACTTTTCCCAGTGGAAGAAACTCGTACTTTTATAAATCGTATATATTTCCTATGAAACCAGACTTGATGATCCGACATAGCAGTCAAATCCTTAAATTCTGATAGCCTGAAGAGGTAATTCCTGTAGAAATAATGCCTTTTTCAGCCAAAGATGGATGAAGCTACAGTTGGCTGCTGGTTTCAATCAAGCCACGTAAGCTCAATCATTTTAATTCATAGATGTTGGGATAGAACATCTTGAATCAGTGGTGAACAACAGCCTCATTCATTTTTCCGTGCCTCATCTAAAATCACATCTAGCCTTCATAGCTGAAGCAAAAAGGGCTGGAGAAAATCACCCACCACTGGGAAATTTGGGTTCTATCATGTTCTACTCTCTGGTAAACTAACATAACTATGGAAAATCTCCATTTTCAATGGGAAAATCCACTATAAATGGCCATTTTCAATAGCTATGCTAAATTACCAGAGGGTATCCTATTTTGTTGGCAATATTTGATGCCACAAGATCCAACATGTTTGTTCAACAAGTTCGCAGTTTTCAGACATATTACAGTAATTAGTCCATAGGATCCTAACGGTGCTGCTATATATGGTAACATGGATCCCATCAATATACCCCAGTCATGTTAGCATTAATCTACCAGCACCATGGATCCGTCATGGGTAATCCAAATAATCCAAAATATGTTTGGTTTTCAGGTGGCATCTACAGTAATTTCAGATGCATCAGACACTATCAATTGTCCTTGCATCGGGATCCCAAGAGCCGTGTTTCCCGGATGTTATACATCACCAGGCCATACCTCTGACATGGTACCCCTCAATTCCTCAGATCATCTCTGTTCAAATGACCGGAGGAATACCCCACTTGCAAACACTTAAACAATTCTCATATGTTCCTTCCAGATTCCATTACAGTAAATCCCACAGGTCCCCTTAAATCCCATTGAATCCCGGACAATTCGGCTAAAATCATATGTATAATATATATATATATATCATCAAATCCAATTAAAGCACAGTAACCCCCATCAAAATCCCATTGAATCTCATTGAAACTCGTTGAATCTCATGAAATGCCATGATTTTTTTTCGGCCATGTTCACTGCCGAACATGGCCATGGCATTGGTGAAGGTCAAGGACCGCTTCTTGGCCGCTTTCCTGGATACCAAAAACGGCACGAAACGGAAAGCAACCGTTGTTCCAGTCATTGGATTGGTTTAAGGGAAAAATTACAGGAAAGCCCAATATTTAATGGGAAAATCTATGGTTTCCTGTAGATTTTCCCTTAAACCAATCCATTGATCCAGCTGTGAACTCGACATCTTTAGGAAGACTAGGCAGGAACCCTGGGAAATCACCGATACTGGTTATATCTGGTGACATATCTGGTTGGTGGTGCAATGTGCCCATCTTGAAAATTATGACTTCGTCAATGGGGTTGGGATGACATCCCATATACTATGGACAATAAAAAAAATGTTTGAAACCACTAACCAGTTATGGTGTTTATAACTGGCAACATCATCGGACTATATACCTAAAGCTGGATCTGGTTTCATGGTGGATTTTTCTGCAAGCCATGTAACTGAGAAACAATCCAGGTCTGAAAGCAACACATTGACACTCAGGCATGGGAAGCACCACATACAATTGGAATATGTTTCGGAAGCGAACTTAGGTGTGCAGTCCACAGATAGGATTCATGTGGTTTATAACCTATAATTATATCACCCGTATAAGCCATATATCATTAAGGTGGTGCCCCATATAGTTTGCTTGGTTTGTGTCTTGGCCACTCTTTATGGGAAGATAACTATAGTTAAGGTTATAACCCAACCTATAATTGGGGGCCCCCGCCTTGAAGATAACGGATGAGTGAAAATTGAGATGAGCACTGAGAATTGAGTGAACATTCAGTCAGCATTCGGATTCATAAATGACGCACGTCACCATATCATCAATGGGAATTGTGGGGATATCCCCTGACATAGGCCTGAAAAATAGGGCTTATATATGGTAGGTACCTCCATTTTAGGATCCTGGAATTCCCATTGAAAACAAAAAACTATGGGTCAAACTTGGCTACGCCATCCCGAAAAAGGGTCTGAACAAATGTTGACATGATTTGACCCCATCAAAAATGTCTGCATTTTTTTGGGCTGATATGATGTAGCATGGTGAAAATACAAAAACCATGGCAGAGTATGTTCATCCAACAAAAATGGTGGGATTCTTCCCATATAAGTAATGCACAGTATTGTACAGTATAACCGCTGAATGGAGAACATGCCCTCATGGATTCTTCTACCGGAATCTGATCCATGGTGCAGGAATGGAATACGAGCTCTACCAGATACCCTCCCTCGACTTCCTGTGGTCATCCCATAAGCAAAGCTCCAATGGAAAGCCCAAAAACTACCCTCTGGCAATTAAATTGCCCATTTATATGGGATTTATATACAAATATAAACAATGATGATTTTCCATAGCAAGCTGTTAAACTGCAAGAGGGTACTATATATATAGGTCATATTGTTATAATTACACGTGCATACATATCATTATCTATGTATATATATATATATACGTACAAAAATCATATATATATATATATGTGCAGGTCATATTGTTATAATTACATGTGCATAAATATCATTATCTATATATATCTGGGTAAATTATAAGATTTCACTAACCTGAAACGTTCGGCCATTTGGGGATGATTTCCCATATAAAAACCATGATTTCCAGGGCTCGGTCGCAGTGAGGTCGTTATAATTTACCCATATATATATACCCTCTGGTTATTTAACATAGCCATGGAACATCACAATGTTTAATAGGTAAACCACCTATAAATGGGCCATTTTCCATGGCTATGTTAAATAACCAGAGAGTATATATATATATATATACACATCATATTCCCAGCCATGTCACCGAACGACACCAGCCATCTCATCGCCTTCGGTAAACCCCCGCCTTCCAAAGGAGTTCCCGTTTCTCTCCGCCTTGAGGAAGAGGGTCTCCAAGCGCTGAAATCGCTCCTGCCGGCGGGGGGGCCCATGAAAAATCACCATTTTTAATGGGAAAACCATGGGAAAACCATGGGAAAATTGTGATTTATATGGAAAATCACCATCTTTAATAGGAAAATCAACTATTTAAATGGGCAATGTTCAATAGCTATGTTAAATTATCAGAGGTTAATAGCTGGGAAAATCATCGAACTATGATAGAACTATGGCTGAATTTCCAATTATCCAATTTTTTTTTTGGAGGGTACTTTGGTTTCAAACTACAATAACTAAGGGTCAGGAGAGATATATCATGATATCCATATACTTGGATGGGGCGATAAACCAACGAAAATACACGCAGAGCAAACTTTGAACCACTCTGCGGACACCTCAGTAGACATTCAGGTGGCACAAGAAATGTCACTATTCTGGAAACGAATTTAGTAGGAACTAGAGTACAGTATATTGAACTTTCATGGCAGGATACTGCACATCGCTTACTGTAAATTTCTCCGAATACAAACCAAACCAGAAGCCAGAAGCTTACACTCCCCAAAAATGCTTAGAAACACCGTTGGGCCGTCCGTCATAGTATGCTCCGCTCAAGGTTCTCAAGGTTCTCTGATTGAACACATCATCGACCTTCGCCATTCCCATGCCATTCTCTGAAATGCAGCCACATGTATGGTCATCCGCCTAGGCCCTAGGCACATTTTAACAATTCCCAAGCTGAACATGGATCATAATAGACCCATTTCCCCCATTTCCTATCAACCATGATGCGAAAAAAACATTTATGGGCAAATCTCCTTTACATCTCAATCAAATTGGAAGGTAAACCATCGGCCAGATCATCTATGGAGATCCCAGTCATAGATCCACATAAATTATAACAAATCATCGGCCTTAAAACAAAAAAAAACTTTGGGGAAATTCGGAGATGATTCCCCATACCCTCTGGTAAACGTTTACATAACTATGGAAAATCACCATTTTTAATGGGAAAATCCACTATTTCGACTGGGCCATTTTCAATAGCTATGTTAGTTTACCAGAGGGTAAACAGTATAAACAGTATAAACACCATCATTCCCGAATGCCATCGCGGCATGAGGTCGTCGTTTTTGTGAGAAACGCCGGAGGGAGTTCCATACGGAATCCCAGTATCTTCCATTAGATTCCCGTGAGATCACCAGGAAAATTCTCAGATTCTATCCTCATCCATTATGAAAAAAAATCAGACTCAAGTTTGAAACACCTTAAAATTTTAGAATCTACAAGCCCAAGCCACATAAATCATCATTAACAATCATAAATCCATATATATATATAAATCCACCATTTCTATTTTGACATCACCGCATGTTGCGGCTTTAAATCCACCCTGTCCTGACGAAGACTTTTCTTCTTTTCTTCTAGAGGCCATGGTAAGGATGGACCCGTCAAACCACCGTAGCGTTGAATTCGATCCTCCAAGCCGCGCAGCTGATGGGGGATTGGAAACAGGGGGAAAAAAAGACCGAAAAAACGACCATAAACACACATAATATATATATATGTATTCATATGTATATATACATAGTTATGTGATAACATATATATATATAGTATATATATATTATATATTTATATATTTATTTATTGATATGTATATATATATATATATATATTATATTGCTGGAACTTCCAAATCCTGCAAATTCTTCGTGATCTTAGGAGTTTGCTGTTTTGTCCTGCAAAACGAGGTTAAATTTGACAAAACTCCTAACTCCACCAAGACTAGTTACTAGAAATCTGCTGTGGCCTCCGCGGGTTTGGCAGATAGTCTGCGACAGGCGCTTTTGAGGGTGTAACTTTTGACATTGCGTTATTTGTGCGACAAAACAAGCATATCGCAGCCCAAAACTACCAACTCTAGCCGCAAAAAAAACAAACCAGTGTCAAAAACCCACAAAAACAATATCAAACACCCGCAAATCTGAAAAAGTCGTAGAGCGACATCATTGAAAGTGGAATGTTCCCTGTCCAGGTCCTACTTTCGGCAACAATGTTGCTTTCAAATGTAAAATGTGGGCCAGTCCGTTGCACATGTTAGGAAATGCAATGAAATCAAAAAAAACCTGGAAAGCGGAAACACCTATAAATTTCCTGAATTTTGATCCTGCAGGTTATGTATAATATAAATACATTACGTACAAATATACAATATGCATGTGTATATAATGTTTATATATATATGAATGTATAAATATGTATAATGTAAAAATATGTATACACATCATGTATATATATATATATATTTATTGTGTATGCATATATATATATATATGTCTATTAATGTATATACACACAATTAATGTTCTCATTTACTTTTGGTATTTTGGTGGCTGTTTCTTGCATCCCATATTCATTTGTTGGCATGTCATGGCTATCTGTGGCGGATCTTGGCGGTTTCTTTTGCTACGGGGTCAGGTAGGTTTGGAGGTGCACTTCGTCACCCCTGGCCCTGGACTGACAATGAGAAGCAGGTGGCTAAACAAATAAAGTATAGGGAACATGTCTGAACATGTGGGGTTGGAATTCATAGATTCTTGATGTACCAATAAATTCAGTGATCAACGTACGTTCGACTGAGACAAACAATTCGACTATGTAAACTATTAAACTGTTCAGCTTGACTGACGCTTCATGTACTTTCCATCCATGGTATTTTTTCGGATGCCGCCCAACCCTTGCGGGGTGACCCTACCAATAATGGATGATGATATTCAAACATATTCATGAACCAATACACCTTCAAACAAAAACATAAACCAAAGCAATAAAGTACCATCTTCATTGGCCAATGAGCCCTAATTAGTAGTGCTATGCAGTGGTTGTTTTCTCCAGGGAAGCAGCCAAGTGTCCACAGTTATGACGCTTGTTTGAGCATTTTCAAGGACCTCGAAAGGCGCTGTCTCCAATCCAAGGCTGTGGTATTTTGCACATCACAAATTTCTATTTGTAGAATATGCAACGAAACTTGCGGGGGTGCCCCTGTAGATACTTAAGTTAATTTACAACTCCAACTATGGTTTATGAAGGATATATATGATATATATAAATATATAATACATATCTGTACTTTTGGGGTTTGTAAACCAACTTGTAATTGGCGGGGGCACCCACCTTGTGTGATATGGGAAAGTATCAATGGAGTGCAGTTTTTCTATCACAAGTTTGCATAGTTTGTATTTTGCAAAAAGTATAGTATTTGTATGTCTTTGTTAGGTTTGAAAACAATTTCCACAAATTCTTGGATAGTATCTATAATACAAATGTACCCTCTGGTAAACTAATATAGCTATTGAAAATGACCATAGAAATAGTTGAATTACCCATAAAAAAATTGTGATTTTCCATAGTTTTTCGTATGTTTACCAAAGGGTATGCATAGAGAAGATACCATGACGAATCCGAAAGATCAAAATTATGAGCGGTTTTAGACCGTTTCTTCGAGCCTGTCAAGGGAGGAACAAGTCTTAAGGACAACATTATTTGCTAGAATTTGTGTTAAGTTTCCTGGGAGTGCATCCCAAGAATTGTCAGTGGTTAATGATCACAAAATGACCCATTCGAAACTGTGTTCAAAAAAAATAACCAAATACTAACTGAAATGCACATCCAAAATGGATGTGGACTATCAATTGGAAACCTATTCCAAACCCAATTACAGTAGATCATTGTTAGTAGATCTTTCATGATACTTCAAAAGTGACTAACGACCAGTCAGGCTCCATAGGGAATGAGGTTCTAAACCATCAAATGTTGGGGTATTAGACATATCCCCCAACAAGTACCCCATTACATTCCATTCAATGACATGAAACTCGAAAAATTGGATTCGATTGAATCGATTGAATTCCATTGGTCCCATGAAATTCTATTGAAATCTGAAATTTAGAAAGCAAGAAATCCCAATGAAATGAAATCCTTATAAATAAATTGAATTCCTATAAATAAACATGAAATCCCATGAAATTCCTAGAAATGAAATCCCCCCCAAAAATCACTCTTTTTGAATCCATAGAAATTCCAAATAGAAATTGAATTCCATTGAAGTCCCAACTTTCAGCCCATGAAATCCCGAAACATGACCATCTTCTTACCACCCTTTGTTGGTGACCTGGACGCCACCGGCCAAGCCAACGTCTCCTGTGCAGCAGTTTGACGCTTATGTATCTATTATTGTATATATATGTATATAATACTCTCAACTACTAGGGGGAGACCCTAGTATATTTCACTCTAGACCCTAAAACTGGGGTCTAAAGGCTACAACCCTTGAGGGTTTATGTAAAATAATTTTTTTTGCTCTAGACCTTCTGGGGTTACATACGGCCAAGGGTCTAGAGCAGTATTCCCACAATAAAAAAAGTTGATACGTATTGGATCATGTTGGACCATGTCAAAACACAGGCAGATGCATGCAGATGCAAGACAAACATTTTCAACCCCACTCTGTCGTCTGAACTCAGCTGCTTCCAGTTGTTTCACTGGACCCCCATAAACTGACTCCTCAGACTCTTCAGTCTGAAGCCTCCAGTGGTTTCACTGGAGATCTAAAGGACAAAACGCAGATAGAAGCTGCCATAAGCTTGCTTCAGTCCTTCGCATGGCTAATCTGAATCTTCAGGTCCGTCTGGGTCATCTTCAACATCATCAGGCTCCAATGCGTTTCCAGGAAGCTTGAGGAATGCTATTTGTGCCACCAACCCGTTCAATTCTTTGGTCGAGCCGTCCTTGAGGGCCGACGATACCTCAAACTTGATTGAAATGATTGAAACAAATCCAGGAATACCATGAAATGCCAACGCCACAACCACAAAACAAATACACCCTGAAAACAAAATGAAACAAACGTCGGGCGAAGAACCTCTGTCAACCACTTGTGAACCCGAAGTCCAAACTCGAGCTTCTTGCGAATGGTCGAATAGAAAATGGAAAAAAAATGCGGTGCCTTTGTCAAAAGTTCTGTCAACTTGATGGTGTTCGTGGAGCCATTCTGGGTGAACGAAACCTTTTCCTCATTGACGTCCATCATGGCCTTGTGTGGGATTTTTTTGGTCTGGTCGACCAAAAGACGCTTCACCTCTTGCTGCACCAATTTGAATCCCGCCTTGGTTCGTTTGAAGTTTTCGATGACGGGCTTGATGTATTTGGCAGGTCGGCCTCGGCCGTGCACATTCTTTTCTTTCTCTTTCGGCTTCGGGTCCTCCTTTCTCATCTGGAACATGGCTCTTTGCGACTCCTGGCGCGCTTGGGTGATGGCCTTAAAAAAATTGCCTAATCCAAAATCCTCTGGGAAGGTCCTAGCACAATGCGAAGTCATGAGAAACCTGCTGAAGACCCTGAAAATTATTTTTGAAAAAAAAACATCACATTCCAACTTGCAGGGTTGAACCCAATATCAGAACGCCAAAACAGAACGAGGTCATGAGAAATCTGCTGAAGACCCTGTGGAATGGGCTGCCCTGAAATGAAAAAAAACGGTCTTATTCCAACTTCCAGGGTCTAATCCAAAATCCCTCTGGGGTTCTTTAGCACCAGAAAAAAATGAGGTCATGAGAATCTGTTGAAGACCCTGTGGAATGGGCCCCTGCCCTGAAATTAAAAAAACGTTCTTAGTCCAACTTCCAGGGTCTAATCCAAAATCCCTCTGGGGTTCTTTAGCACCAGAAAAAAATTAGGTCATGAGAATCTGTTGAAGACCCTGTGGAATGGGCCCCTGCCCTGAAATGAAAAAAACGTTCTTATTCCAACTTCCAGTGTCTAATCCAAAATCCCTCTGGGGTTCTTTAGCACCAGAAAAAATGAGGTCATGAGAATCTGTTGAAGACCCTGTGGAATGGGCCCCTGCCCTGAAATGAAAAAACGTTCTGATTCCAACTTCCAGGGTCTAATCCAAAATCCCTCTGGGGTTCTTTAGCACCAGAAAAAAATGAGGTCATGAGAATCTGTTGAAGACCCTGTGGAATGGGCCCCTGCCCTGAAATGAAAAAAAAACGTTCTTATTCCAACTTCCAGGGTCTAATCCAAAATCCCTCTGGGGTTCTTTAGCACCAGAAAAAAATGAGGTCATGAGAATCTGTTGAAGACCCTGTGGAATGGGCCCCTGCCCTGAAATGAAAAAAACGTTCTTATTCCAACTTCCAGGGTCTAATCCAAAATCCCTCTGGGGTTCTTTAGCACCAGAAAAAAATGAGGTCATGAGAATCTGTTGAAGACCCTGTGGAATGGGCCCCTGCCCTGAAATGAAAAAAACGTTCTTATTCCAACTTCCAGGGTCTAATCCAAAATCCCTCTGGTTCTTTAGCACCAGAAAAAAATGAGGTCATGAGAATCTGTTGAAGACCCTGTGGAATGGGCCCCTGCCCTGAAATGAAAAAAACGTTCTTATTCCAACTTCCAGGGTCTAATCCAAAATCCCTCTGGTGTTCTTTAGCACCAGAAAAAAATGAGGTCATGAGAATCTGCTGAAGACCCTGTGGAATGGGCCCCTGCCCTGAAATGAAAAAAACATTCTTATTCCAACTTCCAGGGTCTAATCCAAAATCCCTTTGGGGTTCTTTAGCACCAAATCGAAATGAGACCATGAGAATTTGTCGAAGACCCTGTGGAATGGGCCCCTGCCCTGACTCCCCAGCAGTCCTCTGGAAGCAAGACCTTCAGCCCATCAAGGCCCACCTTCTTCTTCATGCTCGGAGTATCTAACCGCATGCCAATGCACTCATGCGGCAGGACCACTGCAACGGAGCCACTGCCGCAAGTGAAAACTCGTGGCTCGTCATTGTCTTCACTCATGATGACCACCCTTGCTGAATGCAAACCTCCTCTTGGTATCTCGTGGCAAACTTGCTGGGCACCTGTTCCTTTCTTGAAATATCTCCACATAGTCAAGACAAGGCCCACCCTCCATTCCCCACGGTAGCTCACAGCAACCAGGTCACCAGTGGAGATTGCCACACTGGACGGCAACGTTGGAAATTCCATCCGCGCCTTCTCAGTCGCTTGCACCCATGCACTTTGCCTTGACTTTCGCTGGGTGGGGAGTTTTTCCACAGCATCTGCATGTGCCATTTGATGCCGGAACATGTTGTGCCACTTCTTGGGTTGGCTCAAAATGAGCTTTCTGGTTCGGAGCGGCTGCTGGATAATATCACCATCACACCCATTTGGAGCCATTCTGAGCCAGCAAAGAAGCCGGACTAAATCGTCCTCACCCGACTCCAGATTCTCATGTCCACGAAGGGCTCCATGCAGTGAGTAGCGGCCTTCTCTTGGCTTGAATCGCTCAAGATCATCATCTGGCTTGGTGTCAGCCACTGTCTCGTCTTCAAACAACTCCTTCATGGCTTTCACCACGCCAGAATCTTCATCATCGACTCCGCGAGCCTTTCTGCGTGCTGCTTCCTCTGCAAGGACACAAGTAGCTTCATCAGGAGCATCTTTAACCTCAGCATCTGCCTCGAACTCATCAACAAAGGCTTGGCTTTCTCGAATCCGATCCAAGACTGCTGCAACATCTGCTTTCTCGTTTGCCACAAAGCCTCTGGGAAGCACTATGCTGAAACATGCTGAAACCTAATGAACATTGACAACATTTTATTTAATTTTATTTACATATATTTTAATATATTTTACATATATTTAAACAAAAAAATATTAGGACCACAGACTTGTAGCCCTGTGCCTTCATCTTCCGAATCTTCGTCCGCATGCATTTCTGCTTCACAAGTGGCTCCTGCATTTGTGTTGTTGAAGTCACTTTGCAACTGGGCCATCGAGAATTCGCTGCTCATGGCTGCTAAGCGGAGAGCGGCCTGCCACGACCTTTGTGCTGTTGCGCAAAAGTCGTTGGCTGAGAGTTGATCCTCGCGCGCTTGAGGCTCCATGAACCTTCCATCAGCTGTGCGAACCTCTCTCCTCATAACCATCGCCGAAGCCCTCCAGTAATCAGCGGCTGCCAGGCAACTGTTTGGAAAGAAGCTCCGGATAAGCCCAAAGCGCTTTTCAAGGCATCTCTCTGTGAGTGAATGCCAGCAAACCACCGGGTCAGATGCATAGAGTGCCATGATTGTAGCACCGCAAAGGTCCTTCAAGTTGACATGCGATCGAGAATCTAGCCACAAGGTCCTCAGAGGGACTCCCAATGCCTTTGCTTTGTTCGATGCCATCAGCAGCCCCAAATTCAGAAGGCTCAGGCCTGCGTTGAGGCAGGGAAGGTATTTTTTTTCATTCTTAGACATTCAGAAAATCTTTCTTGTTGCTAGCAGGGAAGCTTCAATGTAGACCCTTGTGCAATTGTCATATGAATGACCGCACCTGTCATTGCAACTTCCAGGCGCCATTTGCGAGAACCACTTCGGTGCAACAATCCTGCCAAGATTGGAGCGACATTGGGCCTAATGAAATTTCTCAATGGTTCGCCACGCCAACAACCGTACATAAAGTGGAAGAAACTGGTTCAGACCCTTCTTTCGCAACATTGGCTGGTTGCTGACAATCAACTTGAAATAAGTCAAACATCATCAAAGATAATTATTTCAGTCTACTATTCCATACATATCTAAATATTTCTTATCATTCACTATTGTTATTTCCACATGAAATATGAACATATATGAACAGACTGGGTCCATTGGAAAATCTTATGTGTACACAATGGCAGCACTACGCTTTATGCCCAAGGATACTAATGAAGACCCAGTAGGTTGCCCCCCCAGGACCCTTGCTGAAGCCACCGGGTGGAGAAGGAGGGTCTAAAGAGAATTCCCTCGGGATAAAAAAGTGCAATGCACACTGATGCCCTGAAAAAACAACACTGGGCCCTTTGAACAGTCCTGCGATGGCATGGGCTTCTACCAGTGACAATAGAAATGCTCCCTTCGAGCACCACGGCACTTGGAAGCGGTCAGCAGCTGGGTTCACAAGGAAATTCACAGGGTCTAGCCTGGGCTGGCATGACAAAAAAGTTGCCATGGTCTAATCCCAAATCCCTCTGGTGTTCTTTGGCACCAAATCAAAGTGAGGCCATGAGAATCTGTTGAAGACCCTGTGGAATGGGTCCCTGCCCTGAAAATATGATTCAAAGAAAACGGTTTCATTCCAACTTCCAGGGTCTAATCCAAAATCCCTTTGGTGTTCTTTAGCGCCAAATCAAAGTGAGGCCACGAGAATCTGTTGAAGACCCTGTGGAATGGGTCCCTGACCTGAAAATATGATTCAAAGAAAACGGTTTCATTCCAACTTCCAGGGTCTAATCCAAAATCCCTTTGGGGTTCTTTAGCACCAAATCAAAATGAGGTCATGAGAATCTGTTGAAGTCCCTGTGGAATGGGTCCCTGCCCTGAAAATATGATTCAAATAAAAACGGTTTCATTCCAACTTCCACGGTCTAATCCAAAATCCCTTTGGGGTTCTTTAGCACCAAATCAAAATGAGGCCATGAGAATCTGTTGAAGACCCTGTGGAATGGGTCCCTGCCCTGAAAATATAATTCAAAGAAAACGGTTTCATTCCAACTTCCAGGGTCTAATCCAAAATCCCTTTGGGGTTCTTTAGCACCAAATCAAAATGAGGCCATGAGAATCTGTTGAAGACCCTGTGGAATGGGTCCCTGCCCTGAAAATATGATTCAAAGAAAACGGTTTCATTCCAACTTCCAGGGTCTAATCCAAAATCCCTTTGGGGTTATTCAGCACCAAATCAAAATGAGGCCATGAGAATCTGTTGAAGACCCTGTGGAATGGGTCCCTGCCCTGAAAATATGATTCAAAGAAAACAGTTTCATTCCAACTTCCAGGGCCCAATTCAAAATCTTTCTAGGGTTCGGTAGCACCAATTCTAATCTGAGGCGCAGCAATGCTGCTTGTTTGTCAGACATGCCATCGGCTCCAATAAAGGAGGCTGGGCAAAGTCCTGACTCCACGGCTGCTGATAGATCGGAGAAATGATCACCGAAGACAATCGTTCGCAAAACGCTGCGCATCTGTTCACAGCAATTCTTTTGAATGTGCGCTGGGCCTGCAGGAGGAAAAAAAAGCATAGGAAAACGAACCATTTAAAGCACCTTCGAATACCTTCGAACACTTGTTGTTCCATGTGGTTTAAAATATTTCAACATATTTCATGATATTTCACCACCTGTCCTGGTATGAAGTGTATGCTTTCTCCGTCCATACGCACAATGCGCCAGGGCAGCGGAATGCAAACCAGGGGCAAGTCCTCCGCAACCAGCTTCCCCCAGAACGGAAGCTCTTGCAGCAAATCATCCGCGAGCGAAATCTTCTGACCCAACAGCAGCTGCCGCAGCCAAAGGTGGGACCCATGCCCGTCTGCAATGATATACTTCACGGACTCTGCATTTGAGAAGACAAGCCCGCATCTGGCTAAGGTCTCCCACTTGCCTCTCAAGTTCTTTGCCTTCGGGACAGCCCGTTCCAGCCTGTCGTCTTTTGATGCTGCGCTCAACACAGGAAAAGCTGCTATTTCCAGCGGCATGGTGCATCCACGGGTCGCATCCCAGAGTAGAAAGCTTTCCATCTCATTTGCTTTGCGGATGTCCTTTGTGTTGAACTGTCGGGTAACTTCAGCATCATGTTCTGGAGCGTCTTGCTGTGGCTTCTTCCGAAGTAGAAACAAGCTCTGGTCAGGCTCCATGAAATGTAGCGGGCGATGGGCGCCTCCGGTGGGGAATAACAATGAATCAAGATAAATCCAGGAAAAACCATTTAAGTGATAGTGTTACATTTTCTTGCGGCAAAACGCAGGAAATGTCCAAAACTTAAATAAACTTAAGACTTACAAAACAATGATCCCTTCTGAACCCCTTCTCTGCCTCCGGCCATGCAAGAGCCTTTCTCTGTGCCAACCAGCTGCATCGTGGTTTCGAGGTATGTGCGATCAAAGGCGCAGACTAGGCGGCGTTGGGGCCCATTCGGCGGCCTCGGATATGAAGCACTGATGCAATGATCGTTCTCCTCCAAAGTTGTGGCATCCGGAGACATCATAATGGGCAGGGACCATCCCCGGAGCTTTGCGAGAGTGCCTTTGAACTGGTTGTTCTCCATCCAGCGAAGCCAAAAGAATTGAAGACTCTTGGCGTTTGCGCCCAAGGAAGCTAACTCGGCCCCTGCTTCGAGGAGAAGCTGCCTTTCTGAGTCTGGCCCTAAGTGCTGCAGCCAGGGGGACAAAACCAAAATCCCATGGGTCTACCATGGCATCCACTCCGTATCCACTGAAAGAAACTGGTTTGGACCCTACAGGCTTTGTAAGCCAAAAACATTGTTGGCAACCACATCTGGAACCAAATGTAACTGTTCAAATATTATATTCATACATTATATAACATCTTATCCAATTAATAAATATCTTTCCACATAAAATCAAATATCCTAATATATCATGATATATCCATATATGTCCAATACATATGTATCAATGTGAATGAGGAACAGACTGGGTCCATTGGAAAATCCCATGTGTACACAATGGCAGCACTACGCGTTATGCCCAAGGATACTAATGAAGACCCAGTAGGTTGCCCCCCCAGGACCCTTGCTGAAGCCACCGGGTGGAGAAGGAGGGTCTAAAGAGAATTCCCTCGGGATAAAAAAGTTCAATGCACACTGATGCCCTGAATAAACAACACCAGACCCAACTGTACCCAAATAAAATAATAACATTAAAAAACCTTAAATAACCACAGTTCAAGGTTCGGTGGGGGTTTCGGAATGTGGTGGTTCCTTTCTCCAAGTTCTGGAGGCGCAGCACGCAGGCTGTCATGACCTTGGCTAGTCTTCCATGTTTCTTATTCTTATTATTGAAAACCATCTCTACATGAATCATAATCATTCGAGGTTGCATAGACATGACAGTGCCCTGAATAAACAAAGAAGGTTTGAAAACAAAATCAAGGTACTCCGTGAAGCGCAGGGTGGCGCTGGATCTTTCCAGTGCAAATTGAACGCACAATATCCAAGTCTTTGGAGTAGGTGTTCCCATCATTTGCCAGGAAGTTTAGGAGCTGGTTGAGGTAAGTCTCCTTTAGGCCATGCCCAGGCTCACAGTCTATGCTGGGACGAACAACCGTTGCGTAGAAGTACTCCAGGTTATCTGGCAGGTTGCCCCGGTAGCGTCCCCACCAGGAAGAACTGACCTGTGAGATCGAAGTCGGGGTGCAGCTCAAACCATCTCAAAACAAAGAGGCTTCCAAAGACTCAAGACGTCAACATGCATTCACATGCATGCACAGGGTTTCACAGGATTGAACTTTCATTCTGTCTATTTCGTTTGATTTCTGTCTGACCCCTTTCCTGCCTGTTTGTGCAATTCCACGACTGTCATAGCAAACATCTTCTCGTAGAGGTTCTTGCTGCGGCGCTTGTAGATCGCCTTCTGTCTGAACTCTTCATGCTTGGCTTCCACTTTCTCTGAAGCGAAGCTCATGGTGTACAGAAGGCGTGCAGCATCTAGGTCATACACCAGACTGCTGACCCTCGAAATGAACCTCGGCTGGAACACAGCATAATCAACATGTAGCATACCTAGGGTCTAGAAAGGTATCCCGTGAGTTTTCTCGTGTCAATTCACCATAATCTTGCAGGCAAAAACCAAAGGATCCTGGTGAGGCAAAGTGAAGTGAAATGCAAAAAAAATGTTGAAGACCCTGTGGACCCTGAAAATATGATTCAAAGAAAACGGTTTCATTCCAACTTCCAGGGTCTAATCCAAAATCCCTTTGGGGTTCTTTAGCGTCAAATCAAAATGAGGCCATTAGAATCTGTTGAAGACCCTGTGGAATGGCCCCCCGGCCTGAAAATATGATTCAAAGAAAACGGTTTCATTCCAACTTCCAGGGTCTAATCCAAAATCCCTTTGAGGTTCTTTAGCACCAAATCAAAATGAGGCCATGAGAATCTGTTGAAGACCCTGTGGAATGGGTCCTTGCCCTGAAAATATGATTCAAAGAAACATGTCGCATACCGAATACCTGGGGTCTAGAAAGGTATCCCATGGCTGTTCTGACATCATTTCACCACAGTCTTCCTGGCAAAAGCCATATGACCTTGGAGGGGTACTGTAGGCAGATGTGAAACGCTGGAAACATTTGGACACTTTGCTTTCAGCTATGTCTGTCCAGGAGCTTCTGGTCGCTCATGAAGTCAAAGCATCGCTGACAAACTTTCTGTCCGTCTTTGCTGGTGTGGATCATTGCTTTAGACTCGAAGGCCTCCGTGAGGCTTGCGCACTTTGGGTGCTGGATCGTCCAGTCCCGTTCCTGGAAATTCCTGGTCACTTTCTTGCAAGGATCCCCAGCTGGAGTCTCAAGCAAAGAGAAATCTGAATATGCTGCGTATTCTTCCCAGAGTGGACGCAAGTCCTGCAGAGCACAGAAATATAGAAATTATATGAAATAATTAGAAATATCTTGAATAACAATTACATAATATGATTATATATAATATAAATTCATATAAATTCATATAATATTGGGATATTCTATCACAACTGAACCTTCAAAGTAGAAGAGCTATGGGCAGCCACCATGGTCACAACAAAACCAACACGAAGCCGAGGCACGCTTCCCAGTCGGGTCAACTTGCCGAATTCGCTGTTCAAGCTCAGTCCAGAACAAACGCCCTCTTTGACAGCCATCGTGTTGGCAAACAACACATTCTCCTGTACGCCTCGAATCTTCTCAGCCCCTTCAACCACTGGTGGCTTCATAGCATCTCGCCAGCGTTGTCTGTGTTCCTGGCCCGCACAATGTTGCCAGAGCTTCGCTCTGTTGCGGCCCTCTACATACTTGGCGCATGCAGGGCACCACACTGGGAACTTTTTGCCGCACGTGCCTTTCTCTCCTGGTACGAGGTCATGGTACCTACAGGGCCAAGAAACCAGAAGATTGACATGTCATGTACTCGGCTCTTTTAGATTGAAAAAACCGTACTAGCATTGAGCAACAATACTTTCATTGAAACCTGACCTAACAAGGCAGGCCAACACACTACCCAAAAACTGTCCTTATCAGCTCTTGTTTCCCCATGCTCACATCCTTCCACTCGTTGTCCACCATGTCCATGTCTGGCTTCTCCCCTGGCTCCTCAGTCTTCACCTTCGGGCCTTCTTCATCATCTGGCTCCTCCTTCACATCATCTGGCCTGTTCACATCCTCGGATTCCTCTGTCTTTCGCTGGAACTTTGAAGCAGGATCAGCACTGGCACCTGGACCCTTCTTTCGCTTCAGGCTCACAAGCCCGTTCTGGTACCTCTCCTTGTCGGCCTCAACCTTCGCTTGCAAAAGCCGCACACGTTCAACCAGTTTTGCCTGGGTCAAGCCCTTGCTCTCCAGAAAGGCAGTGCATGTGCTACAGCCAACGTCCCAAGTGCCGTTGGCCTGACATCAACAGGTGATTGAAGGGAAGAAAATATAATGGGGAGTCCATTGAAGATCTTGAGAAAATTCAAATTTGCTCCAAATTTGATCAACTTGCAGGGTCTAATCCAAAATCCCTCTGGGTTCTATAGCACCGGAAAAAAAGGAGATCAGGAGAATTTGTTGAAGACCCTGTGGAATGGGTCCCTTCTCTGAAAATATGATTCAAATAAAAACGTCTCATTCCAACTTCCAGGGTCTAATCCAAAATCCCTTTGGGGTTCTTTAGCACCAAATCAAAATGAGGCCATGAGAATCTGTTGAAGACCCTGTGGAATGGGTCCCTGCCCTGAAAATATGATTCAAAGAAAAACGGTTTCATTCCAACTTCCAGGGTCTAATCCAAAATCCCTTTGGGGTTATTCAGCACCAAATCAAAATGAGGCCATGAGAATCTGTTGAAGACCCTGTGGAATGGGTCCCTGCCCTGAAAATATGATTCAAAGAAAAACGGTTTCATTCCAACTTCCAGGGTCTAATCCAAAATTCCTTTGGGGTTATTCAGCACCAAATCGAAATGAGGCCAGGAGAATCTGTTGAAGACCCTGTGGAATGGGCCCTGCACTGAAAATACAATTGAAAAAAACGTTCTTATTCCAACTTCCAGGGTCTAATCCACAATCCCTCTGGGGTTCTTTAGCACCAAATCAAAATGAGGCCATGAGAATCTGTTGAAGACCCTGTGGAATGGCACCCATTTGACAATCCATGGCAAGGTGCCAGATTCTCCATGAATTGAGGCCATGTCTGCCCATTGGCGCACATGCTCGCTCCACGCCTGAAAGAACACATAATCGATTCAAGTCATCACAACTCATCACCATAAATCACATTTGATTGTATTTCATCACGATTAAATACAATTAAATACAATTAATGTATATAAAGTATATTAATGTCACAATGTCATCCATGAGGTCTACAGTGGTATCCCTGCTAGCAAACAAAAGATGTGAGCAGTAAGGCTTGGAAAACACCTTTTCCATCCTTTTCCATCCTTTTCGTGCAGCCAGGGTACACAAAGACGCAAGACTTCCTGTGTGTTGCAATCCAGGACTTGTAAATGACACCTGATTCGGACAGCCACCTTCCAAAGTAGTCTGGGTATCTGAGCCGCTCTGCCACCGGCCGGGGTTTGCCACTTGGTTTCGGCTTCTTCGGAGGGTCGGCCGTGTCATCAGGAAGCACGATGTTCTGGTTGTCAGGCGACTTACCTTCAGCAAAAAAAAGATGAAAAATGGAAAGGGATCGTAGGGATCAAGTTCCAACATTCGGGCTGAATCATGATAAACGAAGAAATATGAAACGCATTGAAACGCATTGAAATGCGATAGAAAGGATCAATCAATCTTGAATAGAAGGGCTGCTACAGTTGTATACAGTTGTCACAACAGCTGAGATACCATCTGCTGGAAGCAACCGTTTCTTCCCAGCATGCTTGTCCGGAGTGAACGGAATGACCTGGTCTGTTTTCTTCTTGTCTGGGGTGGTCGGGTCCGGGTCGTCTCCACTTTCAGCGGACTTGAACTGCCGCAGGACTTGCCAAATTTTCAAGTACATGGGGTTCGAGGAGAGCTGGCACCACAGAACGCTCAAATCTTTGCGCAGCTTTGTAGCATCTGCCTGCGTCACCTCTTGCATTGGGATGTCCTGGATCATGGAAATGAGCATGTAGATTCCACAGTTGCCATCCCCCTTCACATGTCTGCACAGCAATTCATTCCGTTCAAACAAGGTTTTTTGCATTGCCAGGAAGTTCTCCAGTGCTCGCTGCTGGATCTCCACCTCTGAATCAATGGAAGCCAGCAAAATCGGATCTTTGCATCCCTGGCGTCGACGATCCAGGGCCTTCAGTGTTTCATTCCAGCTCACTCTAGCATCCTCACTCCATTCCTCCATAGCCACCTTGGCGTGACTCACCTGTTGTGCCTGCAAAGCAGGCACCCAATGGTTTAGGGATGTGACGCTTGAAGCTTCTGCGTAATCTGCTTGGCAAAGAACCGCTACAGCTGAATACTGCACATCCTCTGACGGCCCGCTATCAGGAGTGAAGTCAGGAACAGTTTCTTGAACCCATTTTACTGCATCGACCAGCTCCGCATGACCTTCAGGGCTGCAGTTGCTATTGAACAAGATTTCCATTAAAAGGGGTCCTCGTGGTGAAAGGACCCCTTTCAAAGGAAATCTTGTTATTGACACATCATTTCCTATTCAAAATGAATGGGAAATCTGGTGAAGACACTGTAACATGGAGCTTTGAAAATATGTTTCAAATTGTTCTAAGGAAAGCGATTTCATTCCAACTTCCAGGGTCTAATCGACAATCCCTCTGGGGTTCTTCAGGGCCAAAACAAAATGAGGTCATGAGAATCTGTCGAAGACCCTGCAGAATGGGCCCCTGCCCTAGAAATGAATATTCCAACTTCCAGGGTCTAATCCAAAATCCCTGTGGGGTTCTGTAGCACAAAATCAAAATAAGGTCACCAGAATCTGCCGAAGACCCTATGGAATGGGCCCCTTCCCTGAAATGCCCTGAAGTGAAAAAACTTACTTTTTTTCCAATTTGCAAGGTTGAATTCAATATCCTTCTTGGGGGTTCTTTAGCGCCAAAACAAAATAAGGTCATGAGAAATCTGTTGCAGATTCAGTGGCATCCCCTGCCTATTCCAACTTCCAGGGTCTAATCCAAAATCCCTCTGGGCTTCTTTAGCATCAAATCAAAATAAGGTCACGAGAACCTGCCGAAGACCCTATGGAATGGGCCCCTTCCCTGAAATGCCCTGAAGTGAAAAAACTTACTTTTTTTCCAATTTGCAAGGTTGAATTCAATATCCTTCTTGGGGGTTCTTTAGAACCCAAAACAAAATAAGGTCATGAGAAATCTGTTGCAGATTCAGTGAAATCCCCTGCCTATTCCAACTTCCAGGGTCTAATCCAAAATCCCTCTGGGCTTCTTTAGCATCAAATCAAAATAAGGTCACGAGAACCTGCCGAAGACCCTATGGAATGG